CTAGCACGGCGAATAGTAAGAAGACGAGAACCTCGGACACAAACTTTAATAATCCAACAACACACGATCAACAGGCGATGCCCGGAGCTTCCGAACACAAGTCAGTCGAAAGAAAATGGTATCCTGTACGTGGTCGGATTCAAATTTCCTTGGAGTATCAATAGGCCATAGATTTTTCATAGTTTGACCTTGAAGATGCCAGGAGTTCGCTACCACACATAAAAACACAGCGTTTTCTGGGGGATGTTGATATCCCCAACAGTCCGTATGACAATAAGTCGGCCATTGGTAGCCGGTCTAACCAACACTGTCTCCTGGTCTTCTAGGTTGTGGTTAGAACATTTGTGTCGACTTGTCGCATAAAAATGGTAATGCACTCATTTTTCGGCCAACGTCGCTGCCTTGCGGTGAGGCTTTCGAAGCAATGGCGTTGAACGTGGACCCTAATCATCCTTCTATCTAGAGCTATCTAACGGTATCCTAGCGGTCGTACAACCTTGAAATTGCATATAAGAGTGCTCTGAAGACACTTAAACCGTCGAGGCTCGGGATGGCTTATTGGTTGAGTCCCCTTAGGTCTGTGGTTCAAACCCAACCTTTGCTTCTTAACTCTTTCTGTCTAGACTTGAGCAGCCTGACAATGTCTCGGGGCTCGAGCATCTATCGGGTGGCTTGGCAGATAGGCACGGATGAGTCGTTCAGCTGTAGCACTTTTTTAGTGTCTAGCTGGCATGCCAACGGAAGGGGGCACGATGGTTGTGATATTGCCAATTTGCTTAAGCCTAGACAGGAACAGTCGAGATGCCAAGGTTATTTTCGAACCACGGACGTTCCTGTCCCTAAGCTGGCGCCATAACCACAACTATCTCGAGCACGGAAAGGGTCGTAAATCTGAACCAATAATATTATATTTAATCGACCGTCTCTCGGTGTCACCAACTGAGTTGCTTTACTTGCTACATACAGCAGCGCGAGTAAACGAAAACGTGATACCTCTGACGCCTCAATTTTTACACTTTCATGTATCCCCGCTTCTACCCTATTCTGTCCGATTTAAAAACTATCTCTGCAGGTCCCAACCAGTCCTAGGACTGGTCGCTTTGTTCGCCGTGCATCACGCTCAGCCACAGTTTCTGTGTCCGTCTTCAGTAACAGCCCTAAGCACTTCGAAGTCTGTTTTTAAATTCTGAAAATCGGCCTACTTAGTATCCTCTATTATTCACACACTGAAACAACCAGGACAATTAGTGACCTCTGCTCGTACGCTGGATGCTCTTTGTATTGATGTGCACTATCTGTCAGACACAAGGATACATACAGTACGCGAGTACCGTAATTGAACTCATCACCGTCATCATCATCATCATCATCATCATCATCATCATCATCATCATC